ACCCAGAGGAACATCACAAATACCCCGATCTGTTTCACCCCATACAAGCACTGCAAAACCTCATTCAATACATCCAGTCTGCTCTGAGACATAAATGAATTTAAGATCATCAGTGTTGCACAGGAGTCAGAGCAGATGTCTACCCTGTCTGGCCACACCTCCTCCACCCACTCTGCAGCCAATAGTACGGCCAACAACTCCATTGTGTAAACAGATAAATGATCCGGTGCTCTTTTCGTCACTGCCACCTTAAACTCAGGAACACTAAAAGCTGCCCCTGTCCTCCCTGTTTTAGGGTCCTTAGATCCATCTGTGAATATATTCAAGGAAGCATTGTTTTGTGTTCTTAAATGTTCACTTACAACTGAATCTACTCCTTCCTCAACATCTCTTACCCTCTCAAGCAAGCCTAGATCTATCACTGGCTGAGGGAGAAACCAAGGTGGGATAGCAAGAAGAACCACAGAGGAGCTAATCTCCCTCCCAAACAATCTCTCTCGCCATGCAATTGCCTATCCACCCAAAGCTTGTATTCAGATTGTGTTCATGTTCGCAGCACTCTAGGAGTACGTTTTTTGTAGGATGTGTAACCATATGTCCTTCTAGATTTACCCAATATGCCATGGCTAGCTGTTGTCATTTTAACTTTAACAGCATCTCTACCAACTCTACCTGCATCGCTGCCACCGGGGAGGTCCTGAGTGCTCCACAACATTCTTAGGGCTTGGGCCTGGATAACATCTAGCTTTTTTAAAGATGTCTGAGCTGCTGATCCATATGCTATACTTCCATAATCCGGTGATGACCTTAACAGCGTTATATATATCATTTTCAATGCCATTCTATCTGCAACGCATCACATTCAATATTTTCTTTCCTTTAACAACTACTCTGTTAATATGCTCCGCCCATGTCATTTGAGTGTCAAACATGGCCCCCAGGAACCTAAACCCTCCCACCCTCTCCAGATTCCTTCCATACAACTTCAAGTATATTTCCTCCCCAATCTTCCTTCTAGAAAAAACACAGTCTGTGTTTTCTCAACTGAAAAGTTCAAGCCCCAGCTGAGGGATCACTGCTCAACTTCACTAATCGCTTCTTGAACTCTACTGGCTGTATGGGTAATATTTAACCCTCTCTTCCACAGTGCCCCATCATCCGCAAACAATGATCTCCCAATATCAGGTCTTACCTGAGAGAATACATCGTCAATCATAACGGAGAACAACCAAGGACTAATGACACTTCCCTGGGGGGTACCATTATCCACCTCATAGCTTTCTGACATAGAGCTCCCCACCCTCACTTGTATTGATCGCCCAAAAAGAAAATCCTTTATCCAGTTAAAAACCCTTCCTCCAACCCCCATGTTTTCCAGCTTGATAAGTAGGCCTTCCTTCCACATCATATCATAAACCTTCTCTACATCAAAGAAAACGGCTACCACCACCTCCTTTTTTGCCTGTGTCTTCTGTATGACTGACTCAAGGCACAGTACAGGATCCATCGTTCCCCTGCCGTTCCTGAACCCACGTTGATCTGGTGACATTAGTCCTTTACTCTCCAGGAAGTAAGTCCTTTCCGTTATCATCCTTTCCATAAGTTTACATACGTGAGATGTCAACGCTATCGGCCTATAGCTTGAAGGACTAGTAGGGTCTTTCCCTGGTTTCCGTATTGGCACCACTACAGCCTGCTTCCAACTACCAGGCAGTTTCCATTCCTGCCACACCTTATTGTAAAGGCCCAATACTTTCCCCATTGCAGTGTCACTGAGATGAGCCACATCTCATCCTTCACCAGGAGATGTTACCCCATCTTTAGCTAATGCTCTCCTCATCTCAGCCAACGTAAAAAGGGCCATTCAATGTATCCCCCACCATCTCTCTCTGATCCAGGACCCCCGGATGTTCTCCTCTGACCCTCTCTCTCCCACTCTGCCCCTCTTCTGTCAGATTATTTGAGCTGTGTACCTTCACATATGTCTGGCCTAACATCTCTGCCTTCTCCATATCTCTCACTGCAACAATCTCCCCAATTTTCAGCACTGGGTGATCCCAATCTCGTCTGACCCCACTCATCCTCTTAATCATCCCCCATACCTCTCCCACAGGAGTAGTCCTGCCTATGTTTCTACAGAACCGGCACCAATACTCCCTCTTAGCTGTCCTAATGTTTCTCCTTACTATGCTTGTGCTTGTTTATAATGAATCAGGTGCTGGTAGTTATGGACCTTTTCAACATTCTGAAAGCCCTGTTCCTAAACTTCACTTGCTTTCTCTACACTCTTCAGTCCACCAGCGGAACTGCATTACCTTTCCCCCCTGTACCCATTAGGAATAACCTGCCGTTCTCTTTCTCCCCCCTGTACCCATAGGAATCACCTGCCTTCCTCTTTCTCGCCCCTGTACCCATAGGGAATCACCTGCCTTCCTCTTTCTCCCCCCTGTACCCATAGGAATCACCTGCTTTCCTCTTTCTCCCCCCTGTACCCATAGGAATCACCTGCTTTCCTCTTTCTCCCCCCATGTACCCATAGGAATCACCTGCTTTCCTCTTTCTCCCCCCTGTACCCATAGGAATCACCTGCTTTCCTCTTTCTCCCCCCTGTACCCATAGGAATCACCTGCTTTCCTCTTTCTCCCCCCTGTACCCATAGGAATCACCTGCTTTCCTCTTTCTCCCCCCTGTACCCATAGGAATCACTTGCTTTCCTCTTTCTCCCCCCTGTACCCATAGGAATCACCTGCTTTCCAGCCCCCTGCTATTGCTCCTCTTACTCCATCATTCACTGTTTCTACATCTGAATTAAGATCAACCTGAGACAGCTCCTGAAACTGACCCCACTCCACTTTCCCAAATATCCATCTCCCCAATGTCCTACTGATTCTTCCACCCTCAATCCTACAGTAGAAATGATAGGATAGTGATCACTATCCCCTGTAGATTCCTCCAAAACCTCCCAACTACATCTGCCAGCCATTGAACTTGAGATCAAAGTATGATCCAGAGCAGATTCATTTCCAGTTCCTGGGTCAATCCTTGTTCCCCGGCCGTCATTAAGACTCACAAGCCCTTTCTAATCCAGTAGCTCCTCCAACACTTGTCCATTTACATCAGTCCGTAACCCTCCCCAGAGCGTACTATGAGCATTAAAATCCCCACACCACATTACCCGTCTCCTATCTTGACCTTCTACATTCCCAAGAGCCATCAACTCTAGTCTCTTACACGGGTTGTAAAAGTTCACTATTACCATTTCCCCCCCTCCCAACCACACCTCTAATAATTTGCTTCAACCGTGCATTGGCTTCTGCTTAGCAAAGCACAGAGATATCTACCGTAAACTATGGAAGACGTGCGCAAATCTGTTAATGGCAATTTGGTGTTGATGATGATGATACTCCATCAGCAAGGGAAAGGAAAGGAAAGAGGGATGGATACCTAGTCAGTTGTACAACTGAATGCATTCAACTGAAATGTTTCTTCAGCATTTAACACAACCCCTAAGGTAGTCTATTGACTGGACTTGATAAACAAAGAAGCATTTTATTTCAACCAACCAGTGGGGGTTTTTAAGCTTGCTAAGAAAACCATTTATTCACATCATATGGTGGGTTTTAGTAATCAGATTTCTCTCAAACATGGGTATAGAAAATGGGTGATGGCTGTAACTTTGGTCATGACACTAATTATACAAGGGTGAGTAGTGTGTGTGTGTGTGTGTCTTTTGGAAATGTAGTCTCATCCTTCATCCTTTCAGACTTTATAAGAAGCACAGAGGAAGAAAGAAAAAAAAAATGTCATGGAAAATGTATCAATGTAAATCCGCTAGCCTGGGCAGTTATTTCCAGAACTGGACAGGGTCTTTGACACACTCCTGGGAGGTCTCACAATGTTCATTGTAGTGCCTTTTTGAGTTTTTGTTTTTTTCATTGTTTATAAGAGACTCAAGAAGAATGATAAACTTAAAATTGATTGTGGGAGTAACAATAATGTGTTAGGGTTAAGTTAGGACAAGTTAACATAGGACTAACAACATATGTTGTCAATCGGTTTGGAAGTTATAAAGGACCAATACACTGAGTGCATTTGGGTTGTTCTAGCGCCAAACAATAGTCAGGAGCCAAAACTCTTAAATTGGACATGTCCCCCATCTAGTGGACATTTTGGCAGAATTTCATAAAAATGGACAGAGATCCGATATAAATAAAAATGTGATTAATCTACTGTAGGCAACAGGCACTGAGTCATGATCGATTTATTTCACATTAAGCCCAAAAGTAGAGAGTTAAATGTATGTTTGGTGGCAACACTTGACCTCATTTGATATCTTCCATTGATCATTTGTTGAAGATCAAGAGGACCAATCATGTCTTATAAATCCAACATAACAGAAAATATTCCCAGATATAAACCCATTCACCTTGCAGCCCTATAATCACAGAGTCTTGCACAATTTCTTTGTGCACAATAGGTGAGGAGAGCCTTTGAGGCAGCACTCTGCCAACCCCTCTCATTGCTAATGAGATTTAGGCTACTCTTGGCACAAGAAACGACTGGGACAATGTGGTGTCTAGACGAGCCATGTGTCTGGCTCAGTAAGAATGGCACTTCAGAGAGGCCTGTGGTAGCGAAGAGGAGGGGCTGCCACCAGAATGAGCCTCAGCCTCTACATTTCAACAGAGCTATTACCCGTTTTTTGCGCTATGCACTGTGCTAAAAAATATCTGCTCAATGAAACGATTTTTCATTATTCTTATCTGCCAGATTCTGATGTGTTCACAGCTCCCAGGTTCCCCAATGTGCTCAATAGACACCATATCGTTTTCTCCTCACATTCATGGAAAGAAAATACTTTAAAATGCTATGATCATTTCTGGTTGTTCCCATATATGTTACCTCTATTCATTTTAATCCAGCCATCTAGCACATTGATAGATAGGTCAGGATAATGCAAGAAGAATAGGTTCAGAACACAACAGATCATTTTTTACCATGCTCTTTATTGAACATTGGTCAAGGAAGACAGGCATACAGCACAGATGGAAAGTGTGGGTATTATCAGCATGAACCTATCCCCGGTAGAGCTGCAGGTGCTTAGCTCACTGCTTGAATCCCTTAGACTGAGCAGAGGACCATACCTCTTCGCCGTCCCTCTCCACCACCATGGTGCCATCATTACGCAGCCACATGCGGCACATCTTGAAGCCACCGGACGCCGGGCACTTAGTCTGCCACATCATCTTGTTGTCCTTCTTGTACATGACAAAGTTGCAGTCGTCCTGCATGCACAGGCGGTGGGCGTCGCGCTGGCCAGCGGTGTCAGAGTTCCACATGGGCTTCCAGCCATAGATCACAAAGTTGCCATCCTCCTATGTAAAGAAATAGAATGGATACATTCATTTAACTATCCAGTTCCAAAGTCATAGGAAAAGTATTCTATGGACTCCAAAAAGAACACTTTCAAGTAGGCCCATATCATTTTTCAAGTTACCTGGAAGCAGGCTTTCCACTCGTGGTTGTTGGACATAAGGTAGTCTCCCTTACGCATCTCGTCATACTTGGACATGTAGTTCCTGGACATGATTCTGAAATGAGAAGATCAACAGAGATTAAAAACAATTCATTGGGCACAAACTAGTTAAATCAACGTTGTTTCAAAGCAATTTCTCAACTTATTGTGACGTGGAATCTACCTGGAAAATACATTGGATTTGAAAAAAGTCATCAACTGTTGTTTTGAGGGCAATATTTCAACCGCAGGATAATGTCATCATGGTAACCAATTTTCAACATAGACAAACCTTGTATAAAATATGTTGAATTTGTATCTTTGAAACAAAGTCAGATCTTCAAGGTAATATCCACTATAAGTAAACAAAAACAATAGGCTGGGCAGCATCATCTACTGAAGAGTTGATCTATCTACAGCTGTCCATTCAGTCTCCCATCCAGGATTTTAACCAAACCCAAATCTGCTTAGCTTTGCTATTTGTCACTGACTATTACTAATGTGCTATCGTGAGAATTATTGTTGAGAAATCTCCACTTAATAGATTCACTGTTGCTATCAAAGTCATTCCAAAGGGTACTTTCAACAAAGCAAATGAAATGTAACCATATTTTATCTATAATCAATGATGTTATTTAGGACTATATAGCATTTGGGAAGTCATCAACAGCTATTGTTTAAATTCAGACTTCAACTAAAAATAGACAATACATATAGGGCTATCCGGGTTTCAAGCTTTGGTTGATTTCAAATGGAATCTACAAGTTAATAATAATATGTTGGAATCACATCTCAACCAAAAATCTAAGTGAAAGAATATGATTAAATCAAATCAAACTGTATATAAAGTGCATTTAAAGTTTGATTTGATTTAGTTCTATTCTTTAACTTAGATTTTTGGTTGAAATGTAGACGTGAATCCAACACATCGATTATACATTTGCAGACAAACTGGAATTAAAGCCAGACTCAGTGGCACAGACGGAGCCATCCAAGCAGAGGATCTCCTTTAAATGTTGATATTTGGTTGCGTTGACAACCAAACAAAATTCAATTACTTTTGTGAGACAGTAAATAGCCTAATGTAAAGGATATCTTACAAACGTATGTAAAACTATTTATTCCACCTTAAAATGAGTTACACATCCATTGCCACATTTTGAGGTTGCTGTAACAATACATTTATTTTTATGTAGTCATAGAAAGTGTGCATGTTCAGGGTCGCAGGTCTGTGGAAATGTTCACAATTGCTATAATAATCTGCTCAGAATCTCAAACGGCATTGATCACTTGCACCATGTACTTTAACGAAATCTCAACTGCAATCCAGGTCATTTAGTTGTGGTAATAGATGAAGCACATTTACATTTAAGTTATTTAGCAGACGCTCTTATCCAGAGCAATTAGGGTTAAGTGCCTTGCTCAAGGGCACATCAACAGATTTTTCACCTAGTGGGCTCGGGGATTAGAACCAGCGACCTTTCGGTTACTGGCACAACGCTCTTAACCACTAAGCTACCTGCCGCACAGTGATGACCCATTAAGTTGTTGTATAAATAAACAAAATATCTGACATTGTATTCACATTTGAACTTTGTTGTGCTTTTAAATGGTTGAAAGCGCAGTGATAACACATTTAGATGACAACGAAACAAAACATCTGACATTGATTTTCCATTGGAATTTAGTTGTGCTTTTAGATGGTTGAAAGCATAGTTTGGAATATCATTGATCAACGTATCTACCAAATATTACCCAATTCTCAACATTGAAATTACGTGGTGTGCCCAGTGGGAGGCACTTGAGGGCATTGCTTCTGTCAGTTTCCCAACAGTTCAGAGCTGATGCAATCTCACACTCAAAAGACTGAATGTCATAAATAGTAGAACTTGTAAGTACTAGAAATAGGCCTAAAACACAGATAGAACATAGAGATTATAAGAGGTGTGATAAAGATGGAGATATATAGCTAGATAGAAAGAGATAGGCAAGGGAGATAGAGACTGATGAGAGAGAGAGAGAGAGCGAGAGAGTGAGAGAGAAAGATACAGAGACACCGTTGAGAGAGTGTGAGAGAGAGATATACAGGTAGACAGAAAGAGAGAAAAAAACGTGTAAAAACAGATTTTGCATAAGGAAAGACTGAGAGGAGAGAGAAGTTGATACTCACAGGCCGGTTGTGGAGTGGACGTTCAGTAGAGAGTCTTGTGAGTATGCAGCTCTTGGTGAAGTGTCTTCTCTTCAAAAGCTCTCTGCTTTTATAGCCGAAAACCCAAAGAGACCTGTGAGAAGGATAACACTCTTTCTGTCAAGCCTTAATCAAATCTGTTATGCACAAGACATGTATTTTAATGCAAGCTGTAAAACATGCCACGTGTAATGGGTTTTTCAAGCTTGAGATGAAAAACAAAATACTTTCAGTACTTTTTAGTTGTGGATGCTTAGGCTAATTGTTTGCACCTGGTGGGTCTGAATAGAGACCGTGTTAGAAATTATTTGAAGGAATCATCCTCAACACATTGTGTTCGAGCCAACGGCAAATTATTCTGAAAAGTAAATGTGTGGCGTCTACTATGCTGGTTTCCATGTAGTGAGGCCATTTTGCTTGTGTATGGACTCCATATTCACCCAAAAACCACTTATACAACTCTAATAAACGTTCCTCTTATAAAGAACTCAAAATGTTACTTTAATCTGGTGTCCGTTTCTGTCCAAGTTGATTCAACTCTAGTGCTGAGTCCAATGAATGTCAACTGAGGTCATACATGTATGAAAATGGAATTATGCTAAATAGCTCTGTCTCTCTATGGGATATGAAACTATATTGGCTGTATCTATTCTACATTATTAATCTATGTTAAAACATAAGTAGTGGCCTTTCAAAGTGTTATACCACTCATTGCAGGATTGGGTTTGCTCAGTCCTTGGATGGGAGACTGCTGGGGGAAGACCTTAGGTCTATGATGACCAGATTACCTTGGGTTAGTTGCTATAGGGACAACTCACTGTAAATTCTGGATGTGATATTAAATCAAGGTTCTGACTTTCTATGGTCTAAAAAATAAATCCCATGGTGCTTATCGCAGGAGTAGGGATGTTAACCAAGTCCTCCTGGCTACGTTCCCAGTCTGACCCCTCCCAAAATCATAACCATAATGCCAAGCTTCACATTGGCCCAATCCCTCCTCACTGAAAGCAATGTGTGATAAATACTCAGGTGCAAAATGGTAAGTAACCTGGAGGATGATGAAATGTGTTTGTACCTTTCTCAGAACTACACAATGCTGTCTTAGTGACATAAACCTGGCACAGCAAGCAACGACATGCTGATCCGACTTGTGTTGATCAGATATTCATCTCAGAGTGACATAAGAAAGATCGCATTCAGATATAGGATGCCCATAAACTTGGTGAATACAGAGAATACAGTACACATCTATTAGTGGAGTGAACTTTTAGCTTTCTGTACTGTATGTTTTAGAGGTTATTTCAAAATGGGACACCATGTTCAATCAATTACAGTACACCTGATTGGCTTTATGTGTAAAATGATGTAGAAATTAGATGGATTGTGCTGGTGTAAAGGACATCAGGCTGCAAGTACCACTTTCTCCTGATTTGGCTCCCAGCAAGGCTCAAACCCAGCACCTCTGCTTTGCTAGCACAAGTGACTGCCCTCCCGAAGTCTCTTACCAGTCGCACCACATGAAAAGCTAGCTATTCGTCAGCGTGGGGAAATTTCAGGCTGAGGTGTAAGTTTCACACATCCCCATGTGCTACATTCAACCCTCAAACTTACTCAACAGCGACCCCAGCGTTGAGCTGAGCGCAACTGTTGGCACCACTTTAAAGGACCCCACATAAAAAAATACTACAGTTTACTATAGAATACTACAGTACTTACTATAGAATTCTGTAGTAAACTCTAGTAGGGGAGAGGGGGGTATTTTTAGCCATTTATATGCATTCAGCATCACTACGTCAAGGGAAATATAGTATTCTTTCTAACAAAGATATGTACATATATTTCAGAAGGTTGTGTATTCCTGGAAATATTCAAAATTCATGTAAACATACGTTTTCAAAACATAGGTTGTCCAGGTATGGGTTTTGTTGAGCATAGCCAGGACAGGACAGTTAAGCATGTTACCCTAATTACCTTAGTTCAATCATATCATGTACTTGCGGCTATCTCGGACACTATGAATGGAAAATAGTGTCTGTGAAAAATATGTCTGTGTAAGAGGTTTGGATTTCCCCAGTACAAGGAACATATGTTCCCAGTACAAAGAATGTGTATGTGGGAAGTTTTAGAAATGTCAGTCAGCTGTTTGCATGAAGGGAGTCAGTCAGCTGTTTGCATCAAGGGAGTCAGTCAGCTGTTTGCATCAAGGGAGTCAGTCAGCTGTTTGCATCAAGGGAGTCAGTCAGCTGTTTGCATCAAGGGAGTCAGTCAGCTGTTTGCATCAAGGGAGTCAGTCAGCTGTTTGCATCAAGGGAGTCAGTCAGCTGTTTGCATCAAGGGAGTCAGTCAGCTGTTTGCATCAAGGGAGTCAGTCAGCTGTTTGCATCAAGGGAGTTCAGCTCACTTGATGCAAACAGCTGACTGACATTTCTAAAAATTGAACTAAGGCACCATGGGTATTCAGTCAGTGGCATGTGTGTCATCTTTGTGTATATATTGATTAAATGTTGTGTGGTTGTTGGTTGAATGTTCTGTGAGATCACATTAAGGTACAGTACTAATTGATACTGTTTTGCATCGCAGACTTCTTTCAACTGGCCTACCAAAGACAGTGTGTTTTATTGTGACCAAATATAATTTAACAGATGCACTGAACAATGGGTAAAAGGTTCCTATAGATCCTATAGTTCATGATTTATAGAATCTCTATGGGTGTGGATTCAAAGTTATGTTCAAGCCCAGAAGGAACTGGCACTGTGTTTCGTGGTGGAGAAAACATTGTATCTCTGGTGTGGCTATTGGTCAATTCTTCAAAGCTTTCACAGCAATATTCAATCTAAGGAAATCTACATACATTCCACAACTATTAAAAAAAGATGATAGTAAGTTGTATACTGATTTTCATACCCAAAATGATATTTACCCTCTAAATCCAAGGACTTAATTATAAAAAAGCAATAATGGACACAAGAACAGAACACCAGAACTTCAGATACATTTGATGACGTTTATTTTCCTCCACAGAGTGCTTCATTTTGATCCCCTGTTCTGAGCAGAGTTCCACACCTCCTCTCCATTCTTCTCGATCACCAGGTTGCCATTGTTCCTCAACCACATGCGGCACGTCTTGAAGCCGTTGGCCTGAGTGTTGGTGTGCCACATGACCTTCTCGTCCAGCTTGTACATGACAAAGTTGCAGTTGTCCTGCATGCACTGGCGGTGGGCGTCGTGCTGGCTGACGGTGTCGGAGTTCCACATGGGCTTCCAGCCGTAGGTCACAAAGTTACCATCCTCCTATGGAGACAGATGGAGAGATAGAGAGATATTGATCAGAGCTTGGCCCCTGAATGTTGATAATGAATGTTGTAACATGAAAATCTACACTGACTAAGAACACTTTAAGAATCTGCCTTGTGTTCAAGTTCTAGATACATACCTGGAAGCAGGCCTTCCACTCTTTGTAGTCTCCCTTACGCATCTCATCATACTTGGACATGTAGTTCCTGGACATGATTCTTAAATGACATAGGATGTAGTTAGAATGAGAATATGGAGCATTCCATATCGCTTTTTCTTCACCCAAAAAACGATTCCCAAAATCCTAACAGTGAAGTATGAGCACACTTCTCCATCCCATTTCAAGTCTAGTTCCCTCCTAACAATAGTTTTTACATGCAAGTCATTTACTGTTTTCTTACAACCTCCCTCCTTGTCTCTTTAATACCTGTAACTATGCAATGGACAGAGGAATCTACTGACAGAGAGAACCAATGTCAATTGGAATCAAAGACCATTAACATGTCACAGCTAAGGAGACGACAGATACAGTACATACAGTGGGGGAAAAAAGTATTTAGTCAGCCACCAATTGTGCAAGTTCTCCCACTTAAAAAGATGAGAGAGGCCTGTAATTTTCATCATAGGTACACGTCAACTATGACAGACAAATTGAGAAAAAAAATCCAGAAAATCCCATTGTAGGATTTTTTATGAATTTATTTGCAAATTATGGTGGAAAATAAGTATTTGGTCACCTACAAACAAGCAAGATTTCTGGCTCTCACAGACCTGTAACTTCTTCTTTAAGAGGCTCCTCTGTCCTCCACTCGTTACCTGTATTAATGGCACCTGTTTGAACTTGTTATCAGTATAAAAGACACCTGTCCACAACCTAAAACAGTCACACTCCAAACTCCACAATGGCCAAGACCAAAGAGCTGTCAAAGGACACCAAAAACAAAATTGTAGACCTGCACCAGGCTGGGAAGACTGAATCTGCAATAGGTAAGCAGCTTGGTTTGGAGAAATCAACTGTGGGAGCAATTATTAGGAAATGGAAGACATACAAGACCACTGATAATCTCCCTCGATCTGGGGCTCCACGCAAGATCTCACCCCGTGGGGTCAAAATGATCACAAGAACGGTGAGCAAAAATCCCAGAACCACACGGGGGGACCTAGTGAATGACCTGCAGAGAGCTGGGACCAAAGTAACAAAGCCTACCATCAGTAACACACTACGCCACCAGGGACTCAAATCCTGCAGTGCGAGACGTGTCCCCCTGCTTAAGCCAGTACATGTCCAGGCCCGTCTGAAGTGCATTTGGATGATCCAGAAGAGGATTGGGAGAATGTCATACGGTCAGATGAAACCAAAATATAACTTTTTGGTAAAAACTCAACTCGTCATGTTTGGAGGACAAAGAATGCTGAGTTGCATCCAAAGAACACCATACCTACTGTGAAGCATGGGGTTGGAAACATCATGCTTTGGGGCTGTTTTTCTGCAAAGGGACCAGGACGACTGATCCGTGTAAAGGAAAGAATGAATGGGGCCATGTATCGTGAGATTTTGAGTGAAAACCTCCTTCCATCAGCAAGGGCATTGAAGATGAAACGTGGCTGGGTCTTTCAGCATGACAATGATCCCAAACACACCGCCCGGGCAACGAAGGAGTGGCTTCGTAAGAAGCATTTCAAGGTCCTGGAGTGGCCTAGCCAGTCTCCAGATCTCAACCCCATAGAAAATCTTTGGAGGGAGTTGAAAGTCTGTGTTGCCCAGCGACAGCCCCAAAACATCACTGCTCTAGAGGAGATCTGCATGGAGGAATGGGCCAAAATACCAGCAACAGTGTGTGAAAACCTTGTGAAGACTTACAGAAAACGTTTGACCTGTGTCATTGCCAACAAAGGGTATATAACAAAGTATTGAGAAACTTTTGTTATTGACCAAATACTTATTTTCCACCATCAAATGCTAATAAATTCATAAAAAATCCTACAATGTGATTTTCAGGAATTTTTTTTCTCATTTTGTCTGTCATAGTTAACGTGTACCTATGATGAAAATTACAGGCCTCTCTCATCTTTTTAAGTGGGAGAACTTGCACAATTGGTGGCTGACTAAATACTTTTTTTCCCCACTGTAGCTGGAAACATGACATACATCATTGATGGGATGCTTACAGACTGGATGTGGCTGTGGAGGAGATGAGAATAACCAGTGGCCCCACACATTGACTCTGTACCAGTACCCCCTGTATATTACATTTACATTTACATTACATTTTAGTCATTTAGCAGACACTCTTATCCAGAGCAACTTACAGTTAGTGAATGCATACATGTTTTTTTATTTCATACTGGCCCCCCGTGGGAAACGAACCCACATCCCTGCCGGCCAAACCCTCCCCTACCTTGGACGACGCTGGACCAATTGTGCGCCACTAGTGTGTCTAGTGAAGGGGTTACTGTCTCTTATGTCACAATGAAGGACTAGTGTGTTTAGTGAAGGGGTTACTGTCTCTTATGTCACAATGAAGGACTGGTGTGTCTAGTGAAGGGGTTACTGTCTCTTATGTCACAATGAAGGACTGGTGTGTCTAGTGAATCGGTTACTGTCTCTTATGTCACAATGAAGGACTAGTGTGTCTAGTGAAGGGGTTACTGTCTCTTATGTCACAATGAAGGACTAGTGTGTTTAGTGAAGGGGTTAATGTCTCTTATGTCACAATGAAGGACTAGTGTGTTTAGTGAAGGGGTTAATGTCTCTTATGTCACAATGAAGGACTAGTGTGTTTAGTGAAGGGGTGAATGTCTCTTATGTCACAATGAAGGACTGGTGTGTCTAGTGAATCGGTTACTGTCTCTTATGTCACAATGAAGGACTAGTGTGTCTAGTGAAGGGGTTACTGTCTCTTATGTCACAATGAAGGACTAGTGTGTTTAGTGAAGGAGTTAATGTCTCTTATGTCACAATGAAGGACTAGTGTGTTTAGTGAAGGGGTGAATGTCTCTTATGTCACAATGAAGGACTAGTGTGTCTAGTGAAGGGGTTACTGTCTCTTATGTCACAATGAAGGACTATAATATAATAATATGCCATTTAGCAGACGCTTTTATCCAAAGCGACTTACAGTCATGTGTGCGTACATTTTTACATATGGGTGGTCCCGGGGATCGAACCCACTACCCTGGCGTTACAAGCGCCATGCTCTACCAGTTGAGCTACAGAGGACCACAGTGTGTGTCTAGTGAAGGGGTTAATGTCTCTTCTGTCACAATGAAGGTGATGATGAGGAACAATGAGGAACCATGACAACTAAAACATTTACATTTACATTTACCAGACGCTCTTATCCAGAGCGACTTACATGAGCAATTAGGGTTAAGTGCCTTGCTCAAGGGCACATCGGCAGATTTTTCACCTAGTCGGCTCGGGGATTAGAACCAGCGACCTTTCGATTACTGGCACAACGCTCTTAACCACTAAGCTACCTGCCGCCCCAAAAGAACTGAAAAGGCAAAGTGTCAGTGGGAAGGCAAGCTGTGAAACCTCTCTCTCTCCTTCTCTCACACACACAGTATTGTACAGCTAACCTTGTGGGGGGACACAATTCAGTCCCATTTAAAATCCTATTTTCCCTAACCTTAACCCAAAAACCTAACCTTAACCCTAACCCTAAAACTAACCCTAGCTCCTAACCCTTAACGTAATTCTAACCCTAACACTAATTCTAACCTTAACCCCCTAGAAATAGCATTTGACCTTGTGGGGACTAACAAAATGTCCCCAGTTGGTCAAATGTTTGTTTGTTTACTATTCTTGTGGGGGCTTCTGGTCCCCACAAGAATAGTTAAACACATCCATACACACACACACACACCCACGTCCACACACACACACACACACCCACGTCCACACACCCACCCACATCCACACACACACACACACACACACACACACACACACACACACACACACACACACACACACACACACACACACACACACACACACACACACACACACACACACACACACACACACACACACACACACACCTCTCCAGAGAGATCAAGGTGCAGACAGAGTGTGTGAGGTTAGGTTGCAGGAACAGATAAGGAATTTAATGGCATTGGGATCACAAATGGGCTCATAGCAAACTATCATTAAGGCAAAGGATGAGTGTGTGTTATTGAGGGTGTGTGTGTGTCATGTTAGCCAACGGCTAAATCGAGAGTGTGTGATTTAAGTTGTCAGTGTGCGTGGTATTATGTATGTGGTATATAGCCTCCCTACTGTTATTTTATTTTACTGCTGCTCTTCAATTATTTTGTATTTCTTTGAACGTATCTATTTTTTACTTAACACTTATTTTATTAAATTTTTTAAAACTGCATTGTTGGTTAAGGGCCTGTAAGTAAGCATTTCAATGTAATGTCTACACCTGTTGTATTCGGCGCATGTGGCAAATCAAATTTGATTTGATTAAACTAGTAAGTGAACAATAGGCAACATTGAGCTGAGGGAATAGGGTGGTTTTATAGTCAGGGAATAGGGTGGTTTTATAGTCAGGGAATAAGGGAGAAGACCACAGAGAGGACAAGAAGGTTCTCTTTTAGAATTAGATTTGAAATGTCACACATTCCCCACCAAAAATTCGTACCCAGCTTATTTTATCCAAATAGCATCCAGACAGTGTTTTTAGTGTGACCTGACAATTAAAGCTGAATCCCTTTGAGAAGTTTTGTCTGGACATCTGGGTGCTGTGATGATTGGGATCATGCCAGACACTCTTCTCAGTAATCTTAGCAATTAACATGTATACTTCAATAGTAACTGCAATTTCCAGTGACATAGCTGTGATGAATGTGTTTTTAGATTAATGTATTCAGTTATCAAGTATAAATATAGAAAAAATCTAGACCATACAGCCACTCTGTTTCTGAAAATTCCACATCCAATCAAATAAGTCTGGAATGTGTCCTCAAAAAACACCCTTCAAATCGCTAAATGAACACAAGGAGGCCTAAATGTTAAATGATTTCACATGACCAGACATTTGGAAAAATTCAAGGGAGGTATCAATATAGGGGTGTATTCAGAAACTGAATTGAGCGTGTACACTGTCTAATATGGCAAGAATGTGTGCAACTGTTCTGACTGTACAGTGTGATTTATTTAATTAGGCTTAATATGAAATAACTCAAGCAGTAATTCAGCACTGC